CTTGTTGAGGTTTTTGTTAGGTCGACTCGTTCTTTTTTGAAATTATGTGCTGTTCTCCAGAAACACAGAAAGTTTTGAGAAAAGCCTTGACCTAACAGTCGTCCAGGTAAAGCAGTGAGTTCTTAGACTTCTTTGGGGCACCAAAATGTATACCAGCTCCATAGTTTTTGCAGAATAAAACACAAGAACTAGAGACGGTTAGAGTAAAGACTGCCTCTTGTAACTCTGCTAAATAATAATTTGTTAATATCATTAAAGTAAAGTACAACTTTAGTAGCGAGTTTTTAACGGTTAAAGCATACCGGATATTTGTAGCTGCCTGTAACGGAGGAGGTGATCGATAGTAACAGAGCAACTGAATGAAAACACGCTACAAGCTTTTATTAGAGCAAAAGGGTACACTGATTCCTCAATGGCAAGGAGATCATTCACTTACAGCTACAAGCATTGGATGTAGACATTGCGAAGCGCTTCTATTGTATCGTGCGGCGCCGCTATTGTATCATACGATCGGGTGCTAATCTTGTAGCTTTTGCACTTTCTAAGCCAAATTAGCATATTCCCTAACACTACCAGCTGCGGCCTTCAAAAGCGGCTCCGGATGATTTCGCCTTGTAAAATACATGGGGTTACTGCAAAAATAGTGGGTTTTTTCGGTTTCACATTCCTTCTCGGCTTGTTCCTCTCGATACCGGAAAATCACCATTTCCAAATTTCGATACGTTGTAGAGAAAAAAATTCTGCACAAAATGTATCTTTTTCAAAAAATTTAAAGACACGTTTTTTTTCTATGTTTGTTGTATAGAAACTTGTGTCTTTGTCCACCGTAACTTATTTAAAGAGTAAAATTCCTATTGGTCTTACCAAACCCCCTTATTCTTATCGCTTCTTCTACAGTACTTGTAGGTAGATGTTCTTAGATGAAGTACTTAGAGAGACTTATATCCTCTTCTACGGTAACTTAATTAAAGAACGGAATTCTTATTAGCTCTACTAAAACTTGTACGCTATGTAGGGAAACTTATTTCTTCGCCTACAGTTACTTATTTAAAAACGAAATTCTTCTTCATGATTCTGTTTAACCTCCCTTCAACAGACCTTTATTGGTACTAGACGGTCTGCTAGGACACAAATCAAAATGAGACGATTTTGAATCAACAATAGAACAAATCAATGAGTCAAAACACAACAGAAGATTGAAAGTAAAAAACTGAAATCGTATTCTCCAAACGAAGAAGGTCCAATCCCAAAACTTTCCTTTTCCGAATGGTAACTATATTATATCTCTTCTCCTTTTATAGATTTATTTCCCTCCAAAATAAAAAGTTTTTTGCCTCAATTTACCTAATTTGAGTGAAAATTATTGGTGGTGTCTTTCTGACACTGTAAGTTTTGTGTTAAGATTTGTCCCAATGATGTATGAATGTCTACAATAGTGTGAATTACTTAATTGCAGTATTAGCTGCAAAATTTGTTTAAAACTTTGTTTTTATTGTATCTTTGTGTATTTTTATCACAATTAAATTATTCAACATTCTTTTAAAAGCTAAGTGACATGAAAAATAAGCCGGAATAAAAAACGTTTTGAATTTCTTCAAAAACAGGCTAAATTACAGGTCTGTAAGGATGAGCGTGTTAGGCAAAAACCTGGCAAATTTTGCAACTTTGGGGGTGTAAGTTGGCGGCGAATTCACTCAGGTTTTCTTTACTCTTTTAATCAGCAAAAAATGAAAAAAAGCTTAGGGGTCAATTGTCAAAGGTGAGCGATTTGGCGTGGAATTGCCCATATATATACATATAGGCGTCGTCATTACAAATTTGTGTTAAAATTTTTTCGCGGTAAGACGAATGCTACAGTAGTCCGGTCAGCTATATATTTATGACTTATTACCCAGCATCTTGCAATTGAAATTCAGTGGGCTAGAGGTAAAATGAGATCCTGGGACTTTTTAGAAGAAACGATTTATATTACAGGATGTACGATGGCTTTCCTGATTACATACTCAAAGCTCCTAATCTAAAACTTTTTAAAAACCATAGTTTTCTTAACCAATGTTTTTTTTTTGCTCTGACGATGGCGTACAAAAGTGAAATTGGTAAATCAAAGAGCTTTGCTTCTAGAGCTTTTCAATTGCTTTTAATGCTGACTTGGAGTTGCGATTTCTTCGCGAAACTTCCCGCGCCATTTCGCATACTGTTCAACTAATACCTCAAGACAAGACCTTTCGAGACTTTGCTGACTCGTGACGTTTGGTTTGAGAAATCAAAGGATAAACAATAGAAGAACAAATTCTCACTAAAGTCGAAAGAAATCCCAGAGCTCTTGCAGGATGACTGCTCCAAATATACAAATTTGGACTCGTGCAAAAAAGCTGCGACGAAAATGATGTCGCTACAGTTCCAAGTTGCTGCAGTCGAGGTGACCTGTTAATCGTACCAACCTCGACTAACGACTCAACACTTCCTGTATGGTGGTGGAAGCTACGATTTTCTAGGTGAAGAATTATAACTATCTGTGAGACTTTATCGATGGGTTCAGTTGTTAGTGAAAATGTGGAGGCAGAGTAGTCGATGCAAAGAATAACGCTGGGGTAAGAAGTGCTCAGGAACAGCGAGCAGCGATTTAAAGAGTAGGCTGACTCTAATTGTGTGTGTATGTGAATCTGATCCTACTATAGAGCATCTGTACTTTTTCAGCCCGCCGCACCGTTGTTATTCCCCTTCTTGCTGTTGCGTTTGCTTTCCTTTTGTCGCTGCCCCTTCTCCTTGACGCTATCCCCTCCACTACCACCCCCCAAAATTTCCTATCGAAAGAGTGGCTGGCCAACCAGCAAACTGAAACAGTCAGTCCGCAAGATTACGAAGAAGTCTATCAATTCATCGCCAGTAATTTTGAAACGATTTTTATGTAAAGCAAAACAACTTTTTATAAGCTACCGTGCAGCTGAATAAGAGCCCAACGTTTGAGGGCTTTTTCCACTAGGAAATGTTTAAGTGATCAAAAATTGGAACATTTTTTTGTAAGGCCCTTTTGATCATCTACCGAACATCTAGAAGCTTTTGCCAGGGAGCTGAAATGACAAATCGACGCAGATTCAATTAAAGCGAAGGCGAATTTGACACATGAAAGTAGAAAAATAATTCCTAGAAATATAGCTCAGTGATATCTAATTTGTCTAAGCACTGCTGTAATAACTTAACCTGCTGCATTCTTTTTCGCTTATCTCTCTTTCCAATCGATGAGTTGACAAATAGCAAAAACCATCACAGCTACTCATACCGCGCAAGCGTAAACCACTTTTTTCAGTTAAATAAAGGCAAGCTTATAATTTTTAGCTCTCTATGGCTACCGTGAGCAACCCAGCAAATATGGAACCCGAACTTTCGAAGGACAAATTTTTTGAAGATCCTGAACCAGTACCTTACTACAGCCTTCAAACAGTTGGTAAACCTCAACATCCAAACATTGGTTCCGCAGCATTGACTGAGTGAGAAGTCCTGAACTTTGTTCTTTCTTTTCTAAACGCTTTTTTTGAGCAGTTTTAAAGCAGACCAAGTGATTAGCAGATAAACACAGCATCCCTGTAATCAAACCCCTCAAGGCTGTTTTATACAGAGCTCTACAATTACGTTCATTTTGCAGGAGAGCTGTATGATTACTGAGACCTGAAATTTTAGTTTTGAACCCCTTAATAAGCAACGATTACTTGGTCGCTCCAGCGAAGCAGTGGAGCGACTGTGAAATAACTGTTCACTAAGTAACCTGACGCTTATAATTTTTACTTTAATAGAATGAAATAATTCTCCAAATATGACTTATTTATAAACAATGGTGGTATAAAGAAATTATATCATGCAAAGGCACCAACCATTATATTCTTCTGCAACTTTCTGTAACATTTCAATGTGACGTCATTGTCAAAAGTGTGGTTGCTGACTAGTATAACTTATCATTTCTTTTTT